GCGCCGCTGAGCGACAGCCTGCCCGCTGCCCGGCGGCCGAGGGCCGGGGGGCGCTGGCCGTTGCCGTGCCCCGCCAGGCGGAGAGCCGTGCTCCCTCCCGGCCGCCTCCCCGCCGCTTCGGCCGGCTGTAGCTCCATCCCGCAGGCGCCTGACAGACCTGCTGTCGCTCAGGCTCAGCTCACGCCATGCTGCGAGCAAAGGACTTGTAGTCCTCGGTTGAAGCAGGGATCCGTCCTGTCAGCCGCCCTGCCCAGCTCCGCTCCCTGCACCTGGTCCCCTGGAGCATGTCGCATGAGGTGTTCAGTCGGCTTCTTCTGAGGTGTCTCTCCAGGGCCGGACATGTCGTGAAGAGAAATAGCTGCTTCGTTTCAACACGACCGATTAAGCTAAAGACCCGTGTATTGTTTGCACTGTAAGAGGTCATCATTTTTATTGTTGGTATTTATTTACTGACATTAGTAGTACGAAGGCTTCTGAGTTTGGTGCAGGCTGGCATAGGGAGTGCGGCGAGCGGGGTCACAGGCTGGAGGGGGTTCCTTCCCGTACTTTGGGGGGATGCCGTTTGTTCACGTGTTGGCCATTATCTGCTGTCTGAAGATTTCACGGTCTGCAGTGGGATATGGAATTTTCAATATTTTAAAAGAATTTTAGAATGAAATACTTTATTTTTCTCGGGTACAGTAAACATATCAACTGTCCTATGTAGTACGTGCTTAAGTTTGCTGGAGCAAGAACAAGGTAACGTGCAGTGCACTGAGCTTTGTTCCTGCAGTTTTTTTAATCATTAGTGGATTTTAGGAACGGGAAAATATAGAATGTTTATTAGGACCAAGGCACGAGTGACTTTCCAGATAAGGTGACTGAGATTCAACTATCTTTGTAGCATTTTGTGCAATCTGACAGGGGGAAAAAAAAAAAAAGGATCGTAAATTTCTAAATAAAACCGTGTTTGTGGCAGGCTTCTGACCCTTCTGAGAATGTAAAGAATTTCTGCTAAGCTCTGTATTATCACAGGTCATGTTCTTCTCCATTGCAGGTGGACATACTTCTGATTTTAATACAGCTTTACAGTATAATCCTCTCCCACAATGGCAGACATCTAATGCACAAGCTATAAGCAAGGATCCAGCAGTTCTGTGGTTCCATAAAAAGTCTTTCTGACGAGCAGTGGAAATACCAACTTCCAGTATAATATTATTTTTTTAAATTAGAAAAGTAAAGGTTTTTGGAGAGGACATTACCTGTTTTGATGTCAGACAGTTCTAGTATAAAGTAAAAAGGCATTTCTTAGAAAAAAAAAGTAATCTGGACACAAAACTCCTGCATACCTCATGCCAGTAACTCACCCCTGAATCCCAAGATCCCATCAGTAAAAAAAATAATAAAAATCATACAGAATGTCTTAGAGCTCCATAAGTCTTCCATCCCCTTTCAATGGTTTTACCACAGGAGGGCCCAATCTAATCCATAAAATTTGGGTTTTCACTGGTTCTGTTAGAAAAGTACATGAAAATGTTTCCATCAAGGGCAAACAATGACACTTAGTATGATGTCAAAAATACTTTGATGTAAAATGTGTAGTTATTATTCAGTAACACTCTATATTAGGAGAGGATAGTATTAGGAAGTTAAAGTTTGAAAACCATCTTTTATAAAGAGACAATCAACATGCTAAGGGCTCAAATGAAACAGAAGGAAAATGACAAAAACTTTTTTAAGAGCTGGTTTTAAATGGCATCTCAAACATCTGCACCAAACCGCTCCTTTCTGCAAGATTACTGTAAAGCAAAGGTATCTTTCAAAGTAAAAAACTTTACTGGCAATGGACAGCCTTGTGCTGTGTGAGATCTTCTCCTCAGCTTCATCTTGAATTAAAAGTGAAACACGAGGACCATTGATAAAGAAAGAGAAGCGGTAGTTTCTAGTTATGGATTGTTTTTCTCCTTCATCTGCTAATTCCAGTTCTGCATTTTAGTGAATTTATTCTCCCTGCCCTTCTTCACTGTTGTTGCCTTGAAATAAAATATTTTATATCAGAAATGAGTCATACGGCCTGTCACCTGCTTCCTCAACCTTGAAGTACAGCGAAGTGTAGTATAGTATACTTAGACTCAAGCTGTGACCTCAGTGTAAACTGAAATGTTAGGTGTATCCATTCAGGCTTGTTCTCTTTGCCCTCCCTTGAAGCTATGCAGCAGTTACTGCTGGGAAAATGTTCATCTATCGCTTTCTGTTCCTGATTCTTGCACGGAACCAGGCAGAAGTGGGATGATGTACATAATGCCCTTTTGATGTTTTCTCTGTGAGTGGGACAGATTCCATTTGTGTTTCAACAAGCGAAGAGAACACTATGTTCTATGTATCGGTTATTCAGCTGAGGTTTTATAGGACAGGATATGATGATTATTACCTTAAGTACTATTATCTACTTGATATATGCTAATATTAAGGTAGTTGAAATAATAAAGACCCTCTTTTACACCTTCAGTTGCTTATGAGAGCATGGCTGGGTCCCTCCACTGATGTCTGCTCTGCTGTTTGCCGTTACGTTATACAAACCCTTTTTCTGACCCCTCTTTTTCACACAGCAGATTATTTATGTATTTCCAAAGCTTATTTGGGCTGCAGTCACTCCTTTCAGATTTCATACAGAAAAAGTCTTCTTCAGTCTCCAGTCCCTTTGTTTTTCCCTTGTTAGCTGAATATCATCAGGAAAGAATATATGACTGCTTTTAAGATGATGGAGAAGTGCAGTAAGCATTCCCAGTCAGTGGATTTTCTGTTATTACTAGAAGTTGAATTAGGGTCCAATGGAGTCCAGCAAATCTGAGTGACTCATAGAGCTTATATTCTATCTTCGCTGTTTTTCACTTGAAACAATAGTCAGAAGTTTCTGGTTTCATGAGATATTTTGCAAATGACACACTTTTTATTGGTTTGCTTACAGATGTTTTTCCTTGAACTGTAATAGCAAGCAATTCTTGGGCTATTAATTAGTAATTGCATTGTTATCTATACCTTAAATTTCAGTGATAATGGCTGTAATTCTACAGACTGTTTATTTGGGCTTAGTCCTAGCTAAGGCAAATTGTCCTGATGATAACTTCCTTAATCAATAACTTAATAAACTTTTATTTTGGATTTTAATTCTCTGAGCAAGCCTGCAAATCTTTAGCCTGTCTTATGAGAGACACGAATTTCTCTGTTATTTTAAAGTGGTTAAAGCAATATGGGCGGGGGTGATGCTAGAATTTTGCAAGGGTTGCCGTTTTGTTTGAAAAATCATTTTATTTCACAGGAGGCATTACTTGAGCATTTTGATTTCCTTATTATTTATTACAGTGTTTACTTCAGTTGTTTTCATTGCTCTACTGTGAATGCACATTTGATCTTTGCTATTGGTGAGGCTGACAGTTCCCGATATTCAGTCTTCTTACTATACCTCGCTGTACAAATAGTTCTTCCTGTGGTGATTCTCCAAGCTGATAAAGGATAACTGAAAACTGCTCCAGTTAGAGATTATGACCCATCTCTTTGTAAATGAGATTTGTAAAAATCTCACCTTTTGAGGTTTAGTACAGGAATAGCCTTGCGTGCTACTCAACAACAGTTTATACCGTATATATGTACATAAAGAAAAGTTACATTTCCTGGCAATTATTTTGCTCTTTAGGAGTGCTGAGTGAATCATAAGGCTTTCATAGGTCTTCCAACTTGAAGTATGCTCTTTCTGCACTAATGCGGCATCCACAGGTACCTTTTTTGCGTATGCATGGTGACAGATATTTATTTTTAGCTGTGAAAAACCTTTTTCCACCTTTAGAGGAAAGTTTCTGAATTGTTACACATTACAGTGCTATAGGGCAGCAAAATTTTTCCTGTTTATCTGCGAGGTTTTAAAATTTGAATACTCTGCAGTATCCATTGGTCACCAAATCAGTTTCCTTTTATCCTTCTTCCTCTGGCTACAAAACTAAACTTGTTAAAACACTTGCTGATTGTTGTCAGGATAAAATACCACCAGATATACACTTAATACCCTTTCCTTTTCCATGATAAATTTGTCAATTCATAATGTCCTACTCGAGTGATATACTAAATAGGAATTGTAGACAAACTGAGGAGACTCTGTGGAAAAAGCTAGATGAATGGCAAAAGACTTAGAGTGCATGCCTTGCAAGGGAAAACAAAATAAATTATGATGTTGCTGGGTCAAAAGAAATAGAAAATTTAAAAAAGAGCATGGCAGTTTACACATTTGATGTGTAAAATGTGGCTACAGAAATCGGTTCTCCACTCTTACTGGCAAAAGGACAAAATGAAATCAGGTTAATGTGCAGCAAAAATAATTAGGCTGGATCCTAACAATCCTGATCAGTAGGAACTATTAACCAATATAACAAGTTACTGAAGGATGTTATGGGGTCTCCTTCACTGTTGTTTTTTAGGATCAGATGATGCAATATCTGTCAGGGATGATCTTTACATACTTGTTCTTACTTCTGTGCAGAGCCTTTTAGTTAAGGTCATTATTCCATTTTGCTATTGTATCATTTCTCTCCCTCCTTTCTCAGGAGAGCAGTACCCCTTCACTTCT